TTCAAAAACTAATAATTAATATGTAACAAATAATTTGATTTGTTAATGGAAATAATGAAATAAAATATTGACATTTAGAATTGAAATTCAATTTTACCTTATTCCAAATCGAATATCAATAGAAAACTAAAATGAGATTTCTCCTTTAAAAATGAACATCATGATGGTAGAAGTCACTATTGAGCTTACTAGTAAAAATAGCGGGCCTCAAGTTAGTTCAAATTTTTTTAAAGAAGATTTATTTTTTTCCTAATTTTTATTAATTTCGGATCGAATTATCGGATCGAATATCCGATAACATAGTAAATCGGATATGGATTTAATCATCAAATATCCATTGAATTATCGAATAGGATCGGATATAGGCAGATCCGATCCATTTACAACAATAGTCTTAACTCGTTCTCATGTAATGATTCATTGCAACGTCACTTTAAATTAACATGTTCATTGCCACTTATACTCAAATATAAATGTAAAATGATGTATCAATGAATCATTAATAGACAATAAGTTAGAAGGTCAATTTTGGATAGCAAATCTCAACCCCATGTACAGTGAGGGACTGTGAAGTGAACCAACCACCCCCCCCCCCCCCCNCCCCCCCCCCCCCCCCCCCCCTCTCCCTGTACGTGTGGCATATCCCATTCAGGAATTGGTAGTCTCGTATACATGTGGCTTTTCTCAATATGTTAAATTGAAAGAAGCAAGTAGGGCGATCTCGATTGATGAGCCTAAGTCAAATCTTCCATCACCGCTCTCCATAATGTGTTTAAAAAATTTAGTTCAAGAAATTTTGCAACTTTATTTTTATTCTAATGGAAACTTTGTGACTCTTATTCAGGTTAAATAAGTATATTTTTGGTTCGATTACCTCTTTCTAATTGTTAGGAGTGGGCACGGTCCGATTTGATTGATTCCCTTCAAAATCGAATCGAATCAAATACCAGCGAGAATTTCAAAAATAGAGTCATTAGTTCCATATCTAACTATATAAACGAACCATAACCGAACCAATTGATTATGGTTCGGTACATTTCGGTTCATTATATTAAAAAATTTATAAAAATAAAATATTAAATTACTGCAAATTAAAAGAAGATAAAATTGAGGTAAAAATTAAAATCACTTATCATTCTTGTAATCTAATAATATATAAATTAATTAAATAACGCAACAAAAAAAATATACGCCAATGATCAATATCAATTAATTAGAGCATAAAAATGATAAATTATTAAACATAATATAAACTACAGGATCAAAATTTAATTTTTAAGAAAATTCGTACAATTATATATTAAAAAATGTATGTAGTATTTATAATCGGATTATCTTCAATAACATTCAAGGAGAAGATTTTGATTTTGATGATCGATCACTTTGAAAACAACAAGAAATTTGAGTTATTACGAAAGATTGAACTAAAAATACAAAATTTTCTATTGGGGTTGCATTAAATCTATGAATTTTTGTAAAGTATATGAAAAATTATTTAAATTTAAATGTTGATTATCCATTAAGTTTTACGGAAAAAGAAAAGTGTATGGAAAATGCAATTTTAGTATGGAATAATTTTAGGATCTAGTATTCAAATATCTAGTACATATTTGTGCAATAAACTAACAAATAGAGAAACTATGGGTAACTGAATTTACTATTGGTTCTTAAGGTATTACCAATAATTGGACCGGAACCGATCGGTTCTAAATACATGGTCCCAAAATGGATCCTTTTAATAAAGGAACCGGAATCAAATCGAACCGAACCGATGGGTTCTATTTGGTTTCAGCCCGATTCCACGGATTCTCAAAAAAAATATCCAC